GACCCACCACATTTCGGTGCTAGGATCACAGTTGTTCAACTGAACTGGACTAAAGTATTAATTATGCACGCGTCGGGTAACATGCCTCGCTTCCTACTCTCTTTCTGTTACCCATGTCCTTTTAACATTACTAGTCTTTGAGATTTTTAGGTGACATTACTTGTTGATGTCAACTGCATTAAACCTTCTGGCACTCCTCCGTTTTCTGGGACAGTCCGGAACATTTCACTATTCTTTATTAGCCGTCTCTAATCCAAGATTGAGACCATCATTTCATCGTTCACTGCACTATCGACGCACCTTTTCAGTCCATAGAAAATATTATCAAGGAACCTACCACTTGTTGGTTAGGCGAAGCTGTACTCTACCGGGCGCGTTCCTGGTTTGCAAATCGGGGAATATGTTCCTTGCGAAGATAACTGTGAATATGTCTCGGTTGCTCGCAGAAGAGATGAATAAACAGTGGCGGACAATCAGTGGCAGCGTCCTAGAGCATGGGAGTTTCTGGACTGATAACCTGGCTCCTCAATGAATACCACAAGCACTCGTCAGACGCTGTGTCAAAGCCATTGTGACCGGCTATAGGTTTATTGACCACTCACTTCTGGTCACAGAAGTGAGTAGTTAACGGAGTGCGGATGAACTGCCTCCGGCCACTGTCTCCTATGAAGGCGTATGAGCCACCCGGCTGTCAACAGCATGCTTGGTGGCGAGTTCGGTACTCCAGGAAATCTTGGCCTCCATACGGCTTCACTCGGGCGCTTTGGGCGCCCTGAGTAGTTTCCCTTTACTCGAGAGCCGTTTTATCCTCACTTAGATAGCCGGCTCCCAACTGTTTGCGGTAGACTTTAATCGCCACGCTGCCTTGTGGGATAGGCCTTTTATGACTCAATGCTCCAAGTAGGGCCCCTAAGTCAACCCACTTCTTCAGCCTGAGCAGCTGGGAAGCACTATGCCTACACAACATGTAGTTCCATGTTTCAACAGTTTTTTTCGTTCGCTCTCACTCTCTCTGCTCCCACCCTCTGGAATTGCTCTGCACCGCCGAGGTGCTGGCCGCAGAACATTCCAAACCACGTGTTATCGCACCGCCGTTTAATCCTTTTATTCCACGTTTGTTCAATTCCCTCCATTCTTGGTCTTTTCCTTCCCTTTTTGAGTCCACCACACCGTACCTTATTGGCCAAACGTTCTCGTCATGAGCCTAGGTCTGCGAGTAAGCCAAGTCGTGTTGACAAGCCATTTCTAGCGCTCCTTTCCTAATTCAAGCTGGCAACCTTCAACGTTCAGGCGTTGATGCAGGATGGACCACAGGCAGCACTTTCTCATACGCTAGGAACTAAGACCATTTATGTCTACAGTATCAGCGAGACCCGCTTACCGAACTCTAGCATGAAGCTACGGCTGGTTACACTGTCTGCGAGTTCCGCTGCCATTTTCACTTTGCGACTGCCTGGAGAGTCAACCACCGAGGCCACTGATTATGCTGGCGTCGGGATTGCTTTGAGCACACATGTTGATGCTGCGATACAAGACTGGATCCCTGTTAACAGTAGACGCTTCGCGATTCGACTTGAAAACTCAGTACGACTGTCTAGTCATGAAGTCAACAGACACTATCTGTCCATTGTCGCAGCCTACGCTGCCACAGACTGCTGCCCAGAGTCAGATAAGGACGAGTTCTGCGGTCAACTGACCGATCTCCGTCGCATCGATATCGTGGTGCGCGCCGGGGACTTGAATGCGCCGATCGGTGGACCGGTAGTTGCCGAACGTGGACTCGGTGGCCAACGCGGCCATCGCACTCCCAGAACAATGGTAATCGCCTACTTCAGCTTTTCGCCTACCACAGTCTCTTTCTGTGGAACGCTAGATTTTGTGGATCCATTGCGCTAACACGCTACTTGGAGACCCCCATCACCTGGCCAACCGTGGACAAAAATTTATCATATCGCCTTTGGATATCGCTGGTGGGGCTGTTTACAGGATTGCAAATCAACCTGTAGTATGTATCTCATTTCGGATCACGCGCTGGTTTGTGCTAAGGTTGCTCTACATTTTTCTGGCTTCCAGCAGCGTCATCAGAAATGGCGTGACATAGCTAGGCTTTCTGCCCCAAATGTTATCCGCACATTTCAGGATGCTTTGACCTGAAGACTGCTTCATGCACAAGCATTGAAACACACTGGACACACTCGTGTACAACTCTGTAACCCTCGTCTGTGGTTTCAGCAGTCCCGTCACCAGTCCTGTTAACCAATGGATCTTCGCACGATTCCTCCAACTTCTCGAAGCCCGTCTAACAATCCCTGCTAACGTTAAACAGCATTCATTACGCAAGACTAGTAACCCTGAGCTCAAACGGCTTATCCGGGAAGATCGCGAGGTCTAGTGGACGCACCGGGTTATGGATCTGGAGCAAGCGGCCATCCTGAAGAATATCCGTAAGCTTTTCTTCCTTATCCGGTCTAATAGAACCAAAAGGCCGACTGTAAACGAAGTTTTATGCGAAACCAATGGCGAACCAATCCCCTGTCAAAAACACCGACTCTAGTGTTGTGCAGAGCAGTTGGAACAGCTGTTTAATGGGCCAGCAGCACCGATGAGTTCCCATTCTGAAATCCAGAGTGCTCCCCAGGGTGTAGACGCTTCATCACCATCTGAGGCTGAGATTGTCCAGATACTTCGCCTCTTAAATCGCTACAAAGCCAATCGCCTAAATGAACTCCCTCCGCCTCTTTTCAAAGATGGAGGCCCATCAGTTGTTCAGGAGTTACCTTCCCTCCTCCAAGAGATCTGGGTCACTGAAGCTATCCCATCTGATTGGATATCGCGCCTGTCTTCATAAAGGGTACCCGGACTAACTGCGCTAACCACAGAGAGATTAGTCTCACCTGCATTGCTTCCAAGATCCTCGCCGTTCTGCTTTGAAAGCAAGCGAACAAAGCATACGTGAACAGTGAGCTGAGTTCCGCTCAGGTCAAAGTTGCATCGATCACATCGTCACAATCCGTCAAATACTTGGGCGTCGTCAAACATTTGGCTGACCCACCATCGTTGTCTTCTTAGACATATGAGCGTCGTTTGACTCAGCTGACCTAGCTGCTCTCTGGAATTGTCTACTGAGAAGGGGTATGCCCAGGAAGCATGTCATCTTACATCATTTTACATCTCAAATCTCGGGTCGAGTGCGGGTGTATGGCGGCCACTTGCCGCCCTTTAGTATCACCAGTGGCGTGAGACAGGTTTGCTCACCATTCCCTTTCTTGTACATTTTTGCTATGAGAGAAATCCTGGAGAGTGCTCTGGAGAACTGCGAACCCAGAAGTGTGGAACTGCTTCCAGTGGACCGACTTCGGGATTTGGAGTATGCAGACGACATCGCTCTAATCTGCGATTCCCCACTGGCAGCCTAAAATGTACTGCATACGTTGGAGGTGTCTGTCTCCCAGTTTGGGATGACATTCGCACCATCGAAGTGCAACATCTTCCTGCAGGACCTGCTAAACGCTGATCCTATCCTTGTCTTTCAGGTCATTCATATTAAATGGTAGACAAGTTCGTTTACCTAGGAGGTTGTCTCATCGCTGATGGTTTAACGAATGAGGTCTCTTTACTCGTCTCAAAGGCTCGAGTTGCTTTTGATAATCTCCGTCATCTCTGGCGTGGTGATGGTCTGCGTCCATATCTGAAGGGCCGAGTTTACAAACCCACAGTGAGAGCGGTTCCGCTTTATGGCTGTCAGACTTGGCCTGTTGGCGCATAGGCTGTTGAGAGGCTGTCTGTTTGATCACCGCCGTCTTCGGAGCTTTGCTGATGTACGTTGGTAACATCACACTAATGATGAAGATGTTTGACGGAGGATTTCCAGATCAGACAAATTTTGCTGGTCACTGAGCAGCATAATTTTGTTGCGCAAACTCCTCTGGCTTGGGCATGTTCTTCGCATGCCTACTCATCGTTTACCACTCCGTGTGCTTCTCGCGCTCGCAGAAGTCGGCTGGAAGCGAAAGTAAGGTGGCCAACGTATGACTTGGTCCAAGAACATGGAAGAGCAAACGTCAGAATTAACCATGGTCGGGCGCTGTCTGTTCCCTTGCTGGAGTGTGATGGATCAGAAGCGTACGTGGCTAGAAACGTTTTTGGATATAACAAAAAAAGCTGTGCGCAATGGCGGACCTGTTGTGATTCCCTATTCCCACGAACGCTAGTTTATCTTCTTCCCCCTCTCTTCGTTTGTTTATTGTATTTCCCACACGTTGTGGCACTGTGCCAATTGTACTATTGGCCGTGCTATATATATATATATATATATATACACACAACTCATCAGGTTTCACTGGAATATGAAAATTCCGTTCAGTTTAGACTTCTAGCGTTACTTTTGCTCACTCTATTGACTCGTTGAAACCCTTACCATATGTATTCAGTTCAAACAACTAATTGTCTAGGCATCTCCTGTTTCGTTACCTAGATTACTTGATGCTCCGCTTTCATCCTATTTTATATGAGATCTTGATTCCACGATGTGAAATGCGGTTGACCCGACCTCTCTCAAAGGCGAAGCCCACAGAGCCCTATTCCAAGTGGCACGCATGGTATCCTGATTCCTTCTATTACGCTGACAGGTTAAAGCGGGTTAGGTATTTGCATCTCGAAAACATCAGATTATTTTTTAGTCGGTTTCCTTCGTTAATCTTACTGAGTTGGGCAGATTGGTGGCTTATTAGACTGAATTACTGCTCATGGGTTTCTGTGGACCTGGTGGCAAATTATGGTATCGTGCCACTCTCTTACCACTTCCTTATGACATTTAGCTACTTGTAACATATTTCGTTCTCTTCCTGCTCTTTTTTTCGCGCTTTGCAAAACAGGTCTTTTTGCCACTGAATACTGCGACACTCAGTTGTCCTTGGCCGATTACCTGTACGTTTGTTAGCTGCATTTTGCGATTCGCTAATTGAGAAGAGCCGAATATTTGTTTAGTTTGTAGACAATTTAAAAATCATTTGCTTTATTTTGATAATCCGAGTCAGTAACTACACAATATTTTTCCATAAGCCAAAAATAACTAATACAACGAACTTGACTGACCGCCGTTTCCAGATCAATGCTGGTGTAATCGTTAGAACAATATGGATCGATGAGCATGGTGGTTGTTTATTATTCCTTTCGCTGTGAATGTTCGCAGTATGTTTTGTTCGCTGATCTTCATGTTTCTGTGGACATCGTCACCCTTGTTCATGACCTTTCACTTCAAAATTAACCTCTGAGCACAGATCATTCTCTTCGGCCAGGGCGGCGAATAGTTCCTTCGAACTGGGTATGTGTACGGGTGTAGGTGTCAGACTAGATGGCGCGCGATTTAGTACAACGTTTGGCATTCTTATTTGCGTTGGCGAACGTCTCGAGTGCATTATGTTTGGACGGACTGACTTGTTCTTACTTACTGCGTTCATCATAACAAGCAATGTGTCCAATTTCTGCTCCATTTGTAACATCCGGTTATTCATTTGGGTACACATGACGTTTAGATCATGATTATTTATCTGATCTGAATCATCAGTTGGTGACGTGGACGCTGTGACTTTTCCACCACCAAGTGTTTGACGCCGATTTTGTAATGCGAAGCTCTGTAATAAAATAAATTTGAGCACAGCATCAAGTTCCCATTTGTTCGCGTGGTACACCACGCTGCGCTTACCTGTCACTTCCTGTAGGAACCGCGCATTGCGCAATCGAGCACGCACCGACTTCGTTTCGCACGAAGTTATTTTTGTGTCATCTTCTTCGGAAGCTTCCGAGCTCGTTTGTGTTTTTACCGGATCATCGTTGTCTTGTGATGATGGGTAAACTCTTGGCTTTGATCGATATCCCCGTCGGATGAATCTTCGACACATATATTCTGTGAACATGCATACCTCGTAGATGACGCACAGAATATTGAATGGTGGTGGTAGTATCGTTCTTTCACTGTATTCCTTTACCATTTTATATCTTTCTGCCAGCCAAAGTGCAGTGGCTTTTTGATCAATACGTGAGACGGTGTTACTGAACAAGGCAATCAACAAATTGATCAAAATAATATTCACGATACCAGTGTAGAGAACAAGCACAAAATAGATTACAATATTCATGCCTTCTTCACTTCCACAATATTCATTCCCATCGCAAGATTCCTCTTCGAGCACAATACTTACTTCAAATATACTATAGAACGCTCTTTTGAATAACTCTTTGAAAGATTTAGAAAGTCCCATTCGCTGTCCTTCTCGTAAATCAACCGAACCGGATTGGATCAACCTCCGTTGATAATATGTCTCATAGAAACTATTCGGATGTATCAAGCCCTGAAACCACACTCCGTAAGAGCATATGAATATTGCGAACACAATTAACAGTGGAACCAAATCCTTCCGTAGCATATCGGCCATCATTTTCAATCTGGGACCAATGGTTTGTGATATCGATGTGATATACAGTGTACGCATGTAGAACAGGTTCAAACCGAGCATATATAAATTTCTAGTTGAATAGAGCAACGGATCATGTGCTTCCTGATATTTAGACGAAAACTTTTTGTCACATCCTATGCGAATACAAAAGCCGATGCACGTCAGACCGATCGCCATTAGATCAATCCAGTTCCAACCGTCTTTCGCATATTCTTGCAGCCCATCACGTAAACCCTCGAAGATTATCTGCCTAATCTCTTCCACTGCATAGCCAGCAACATAAGATAATGCCATAATTTCCGGAGTCGTGAAGTAGGAGTGCAAGCTGTACACACAGACGATGGAGAACCAGAACAAAAACAATAAATGAAATATGGAATGTAAGCAAAACTTGGTTGACGGCGATCGGTAAACACCGACGACAAAGTACAACCTTGGGGAATTTTGCCAACCCACTCTGCCAACAATTTTATCGTAAACGGCTGTTCGAAACCTTTCATCCTGTACCTGTGGCGCTTTGTTGCTGTTCAGCTTACAACCCATAAGTTTAGCGGAAGTGTAGTATCTGTTTGGTACCCGCGGATAAACTGTCGATATCACGCTGGCCGCCGAGTTTGGGACTGAGTCTATACTGTATGGTGCCGAATGTCCGCCAGTACTGCGGCGCGCGATTCTGCCATCGGATGTGGAGCAGGTCTTAGTTCGTTGTTTCCATGATTTGTACTCCAAATATGTGAGTCCTGTCAACGGTATTATTCTGGATGACCATCGAAGACACGTCGGCAAGTGAATCAAAACGCCTAGCCACCTTTCGTCAAGAAGGCGTTGACAACACGGCAAACTCAGGAGTTCGTTGCACTTGGCCTTGGCGAAGAGGTCGATAAGTGACAGGTCACCGAAGGAGGTTAGTCGCACGCTCAACATTTCTCGACATATCATCTTCTCTGGGGTGTTATCCTTCAACGAAACCAAATTGAGAACATCCACCGCTATACGTTCAACGCGATCGGTGAAGCGTTCCAGTTCGCTTATGACCTAGGGACAAAGGATAGTATATAAAGTTAAGCATAGATGGATACATATATGAATAATCTCTATTAGTTTATCACCCTTCCTCGTGACTATACTGAGACGCCAGGATAATATTTAGCCTATAATGTGCATACGATTTTAGAAGAGCTTGTGAATAACCGGCAAATGCTAGTGTCAGTGTTAAGAGGTGCATGACCGGAAAATCTCCATTTCGAATACTGTCCCTGTGATCGGAATGGCCGAAATCTGCTTCATATTGAACAGAGGTCTCAAAAGAGATTGCGTGTCGCAATCCAACCACACGGTGTTCAAATCGAATCTTGAACCGGGAAATATATTTGGTAAGCGACATTTCATCTTAGCAACGAAAGCTTCGTTAGGCAACTTGAACTAGCTTGGTACTGCGTAACATTTTCTAAAAGTAATAGGTAAGTTGCATGCAGAAAATAATCAGAGTGAATTCATTGCTAAAATGTTATCAGGCTCATTTGCACTTCAGTTAGAGGGAACCGAGCACTGACCTCACCGGGATCTGGTGAGGTTTCTCACGAAGTTTATCTGTTCGCATACTCGAGTTTTGTCATTTGTGGAATGGGGAATAGTCAGCGAACAATTACGAGTGCGTCGGGTTTTCTTTATTTGTCCGTTGAAAAGAAATGGTCTCGAGTTACTGAAGCAAATTCGCTTCGATACTCAAGGCCTTAGTGGTGGTTGGTGTTAAGTCCGGACCCATGCACCGACGCTCATCAAAGTGACTAGAGTTATACTGTACACCGGACTCTCGGTACCCCTATTCTGGTTGTCCTATTCGGTTACGCTTACCTTATGACGTCCAAATACTGTATAAAATCCATGTTTCAGCATACTGCCGTCACAACTAATTTGGCAACTTAGGTTCTTTTCAATTTTGATCGCGATAGATGAAAAGAAAATGCTTTGACCATGTTCCTTTAGTCGAAATAACCGGTTAGCATTATTGCAATATTTTTGGAAGTAGCGGTGTGTAAAATAGTTTACGGGAAGCAGGACACGCAGGAGTATACTGGAGCAACCCTCGGCCTCGCATATCCATAAGCTCTCTACTAGCACCAAGAACTGGATGGGGTATATGACCCAACGTAACCACTTTACTAATCTTGTTCACAAGGATAAAATTGTACGCCAACAGAAACTGACAATACGTATTTTCTCAAATCACAAACTGTTGTAGAAACATGTAAATGGTCTACGTAAAGTGAAGCAAGGGATTCCTCCTCTTCGAACAGCGAACGGACGGACAAGGACCCTGATGGATGCGGCGAATACACTGCCTCTGCAATATGCTCTAACATTTCATTGCGATCATTGGCTACCTAACCCTATGGCAAGTGTTGTCTCACCCTCAAAACTCCCCAATATGTCCTTCATGACAGATACAGTTCTAAACTGCTTTACCATGCGTAAGCACAGTTCTGTTGATAACATTCACGCGAAGTCACTCGCATTGGTAGGATAGAGCTTAGAGGACCCTTTGTCTCCATTCCTCCAACCCTGTTTTGACGAAATGTATTTATCCGATATGTGAAAACATGGGATGATTACTCCTGTTCACAAGTGGGATTGTCGTTCCCATCCAACCAATCACCAGCCCCTAATCCTACTACCAGTACTTTCAAAGTCACAGCGGTCATTATTGCTGGTGCGTTAATGGCCTGCTTGGAAGAATTCAACTACCTTGCAATAGTTTAGCATGTCTTCAGACGAAATCGAGCGTGTACTACAAATCCACTGCTGGCACTATCCACCAGGACCGAAGCAATAGACACTGGCAGAAAAGTTGATATAATTCTTCTAGATTTCCCAAATTGTATTCGCTCGGTTAAACCATGTCATTTTGCTCTCCAAACTCCAAATCTTTGGTATTGGTGACTCTCTCTTACGGTGATGCAGAAGCCTTCTCCTACACTGGCGCTTGGTGGCAATAGTGCGCAAATCTCTATCAGATCCCATCCAAGTTGTATGCGGACTACCACAGTGATCGTTACAGGGTCTAAGGTTATTCTTGATGCATATCAACTATACCTTAAGTTCGAATTGTCTGCTCTGTGCTGAGGACATAAAAGTGTTATAATGATGTTACTCTACTTCAAGCCGATATGGATGGGGTTTACGTGTGACCCACCCAGGATCTACTTTGGTTTAATGTGGGCAAATGTAGTGTCGCACTTACGGCATCACCTGGCGTTTTCTTACAAACTCGGCAACCAGGAGCTTTAGATGTTTTCTGGCGAAAAGAATCTGGTCATTTTGGTCTAGCCCGACCTTGGATGCTCGAGTCAGGATGTACCAACGTCAAATAGGGGCATCCAACATGTCGGCGTCTTGTGGCGTGCGTTTAAACCACTCTACCTACCGATTTTTCCACAGTTTTAGGTTCATACACATGTTCAAAAGTGGAATATGCAATGTAGGTCTATCAGCCGGGCTGAAGTGAAATCCTACCGACTTTGGGATACCCCAACGCGCTTTTTGTACCAGTTACCGTATGAACAAAGGCTTCGAGTGCTCGGGATATTCAGCGTATCATACAGGAAATTGGGTGAAGACCTTGTTTTGGCTTGAAAGATTAAAACGGAAATATCCGAATACGTAAGCTGTGAGATGACCCAGTCATTTTGTGCATTCTCCTCAATCATGTGTAAGGCAACTAACAAGTCGAAAACAAGCAAGATCGGATGCGGTCGGTTGGATTTCAGCTGATGGATAACTATTACTGCGGTACTACCACGCATGCTCAAGGTTACTGTCAACTGCTTCTGTACGCACGGAGGCGGCTGCTCGCGTTCGATTACAATGGCTTCAAGTAGCTTGAGTATATGCTGCTTTTGAGAACGCATGACGACAGTAAATGAGTCATTTAGGTTGACCTGGTGGCCAGTATTCAGTAGATGCCTCATGATTGCCGAAGCTGTCCTGCCTCTGGATTCACCCGGTTCCATCGTGTGAGATTTTGAGAGATCCCAAACATATGTGCCGCCACTTCTTAGATCATAGTTACAAAGGCAATCTGAGAGGTCATCATCTCAAGCTGGCAGTACAATACAGTCGTTTGGAAGGCCTTCAGAATATCTTTTACGTAGGCGTTTGCCAAGCGTGGAAAGTTTTGACGCAATCTGTCATCCTTGCTCCCACACTCGTAGAGTTCGAAACTCTAGTCGATCATGCACTCAATCCGCTGAACCAGAACACATCACATCTAGTAACTTAATCACGACGGTCGTTGCCGTCCCCCGTAGCTCAGTGGTCTCAACCACGGACTGGCAACAGTCGAGTTGCGGGTTCGAGCCCTACCAAGGGTCCGATGAAATGCGCACTGCTGATGATTCCCGAAAGGATGAAACGCGCGTACAGTGCTTTTCCGGGCGTGTGGCGGCTGTCTGATTGAGAATAGATGTGACGAAATTCTACATATACCATTCAACTCTCCCTACTACTCTCCTACAATCAGTACGCAGACCAAACTGCTTATAATGCCATAAGTTAATTGGCGGCTTCAGTTTGGTAAGCTCGTCGCTTGGTGAGGGAGCTACCCTGTCCTCTACATGACAGTAACGTGTAAGTCAGTGGATAGTGAGCGGCGCTATATCACATCTAGTAACTTATTCACGACGGTCGTTGCCGTCCGCCGTAGCTCAGTGGTCTCAACCACGGACTGGCAACAGTCGAGTTGCGGGTTCGAGCCCTACCAAGGGTCCGACGGAATGCGCACTGCTGATGATTCCCGAAAGGATGCAACGCGCGTACAGTGCTTTTCCGGGCGTGTGGTGGCTGTCTGAGTGAGCCTATATGTGACGAAATTCTACCTATACCATTCATCGCTCCCTACTGCTATCCTAAAATTCAGTTAGTCTGTGATTATCTCTGAAGGCTGAACAAATTTTTGGCGATGCCTACTCTCTTCCTACGTCTCATACAATTTCCACTAGGGGACAGTTTTTTCTGCTTTCTGGATACGACTGAGTCGTGACCTCCGTTGCTGTATCTCTTTTTTGTACTGTCTGTTGAAGCACAACGCAGGTGGTTCCGGCCATCGTGTCAAAAGCACTGATTGGATCGAATTCGTTTGATGCAGATGCTACTGGCAGCATTCTGGCTCCGCTCAGAAAGCTTCAGAATTCCTGGTCACTAACCAGGCTAAATGGAGGTAGAAGAGAGCTAAGAAAATACATAAGAACTTTAGCAAATCTGCACTTAAGGCTATCCTGGTGGCTGGTGAAAAGCCTCATATGCCGTCATCACTACTAGGACACCTGTCGTTTGTGCGGTGACAACTCCAAGCACCGTACTCGGTCATACGGGGGAATAGGTCATTTTTGCTGACACAGACGTTAAGGCACGTGACCCTTCACCTGTCTGACTTAGAAAGAAGCGTAACTGAGCTGCGCGTCATAACCTTGTAAGTTGAGAAAGATCAAATAAATAAATAAATAAGTTTGTTCTGGAGTTCATCAAGCCACACCAAATCATACATGACCAAAATGTACCAGAATGTATATTTCGCAACCTACCTCTTGTCATGCTTGTAATCGGCTGTGGCCAAAAGATGTACAACTTGCAGAAATGGAACTACTGTCGAGGAATAAAGTCGTCAGTGAGTTGCCGGTATTTTGGGATCATGTGAACGTGGAGTACAAATCAAGAGCACTGTAAGTGAAGTTGTGGTGATATGTGCAGATAATCGTTCTATACTAAGTCTCGTGAAGGTAAATACATAAATATCCAAACTTTTCTTGACAATGCCAGGCACACCTTTACAGGCAGGATCATGTTAAGCTAACATAATGTGGACAAAATGTAAAAAATATCTGTTTGGCCTGAAGTGAATGTGTGTATGGGTGTAATACCTATGTAATTGTGTGCGGTAGCGAGTGCCTGAGTCAGGCAAGCCTAGTGAGCCATGAGCGAGGTCACTCGGGATCACCACTTAAGCGACGACTGGTCCTGCAGAGGACGTAGGCAGAACC